AAATACCTGGCTAGTCTGACGTTAGTGAATAACATTGAGTGTAACTCTTCTAGTTCAATGGACTTCAAAAAAGTTCCACTAAGGGGTGCAAGCTGAGTTATGTTTTCCTCGAGCACACCATCTACATGTTGTTGGGGAGTACATGAAAAGAGCTGCCCTGCAGTATGTAAATACATAGCACTGCAGGAGTAAAATCATTTCATCAACAAGACCTCCCAGAGGTACTACTCTGATTAACTGATTAATTTACCCCTGCAGCACATACACTCTACATATTTGGGACAGCACCTTTTTTTATACCATGTTCTTGAGCACGAGGACTGGTGTGCGTCCAAGAACACTTGGTAAATCTGCCAAACCTTGCAGCAAAAACCAGTAACAGTCTCAGCATTATCCTGAATGGGCAGAAATTAGGAAATCCCAAATCATCAACTGTAAGGGTCATGCTTCAGGGAGCATTGATCTACTCAGTGTATAGCATTTGATGGCTATGAAGATCAGTCTCTTAAAGGGGTAGTTTAGTATCCATAGCACTCTACAGGCACATACCTGCAAGCTTGTTTGCTGCAGGAGACCCACTGTATGTAAATGCATTTTCTGAGACACAAACAGAATTCTTGTTCTGTGCATTAGCTTAACCCTTTCGGTACCAGCATAGCAGGTAACACATTACAAAACAGCACATAAACACCTTCCATCCAACAAAGAGTTAACTGGATAATGTACAGCAATAGAGTCGAAAGAAACTCTGGTGGGGTGTATTCACTGAAATCTGAATTATGGTGAATTAAAAACCGAATTACAAAAGAGGGTGGGCCAGAATATCTAAACTGTAAACAGTGCTGGGCTGGAGAATGCTCTCAATCACTTCATTTTTTATTTATGTATTTTTATCTTCATTTTGCATAGTGGGTTTCAGTTCATCACATTTCGCTGCTTAGTGAATATACCCCGTTGTCACTCCAGATCTTGCATGATAATTCAGAGCTCCTCGGTTCCCCTGGAGGAATGAAAATGTTTATACTAATATATTGAACCTAATCCTACTGTATTCTCTTTTGCCTCTCATAAATATTTCCCATTGTATCGTCTTATCCCTCGCCTTAACCCATTCAGGAAGAACGAGGTTTAAAGGGATTTTCCTAAACCCGGTGCCGAAGGGGTAAATAATTGTATGTATTTAAAAAGAAGTACCCTGTCCAAACTGGGTGACAATCAACCTTTTACTTCTATGGTCCTGTAACAATAAACATTGTCCATGTCTTTATCAGCAGTGATATAGAATTTCACATTTACCTTACACGTGAATTAATAATAAGAATAAGGCATTGAGGGGCTAATACTGTGTATTTTTCTAAGATTTCAAATAGTTCTGTGATGTCCACCTTTATTTCAAGATAATAACCTATGATTCATAATGCTACATTTTAATATTCCATGTTAATTGTACAAATCATAAAATTCAGGGATGATTGGTACACCAGTTACCCTGCTTTATATCCTCTCAAAACAGCTCACAGTCTGCCAGGTTAGGGTACTGTATTCAAACACTGCAACTCTTTGTCCTGCCCAAAACAGGTGCTTACTCTGCCTCCAAAGTTCTAATTGTTGACAGACAGTTTATTGGTTTCCATGGTGATTACACTTTATTTAGCCCCAGGACAGTACCTCCTCTTTGCCTTGAGAAATCTCTTCCATAGGGTCATATGGATGCAGGATAAAGTGCTAATATGGACCATTCATGATTGGTTTCCATGGTGATAGCTCCTTATTTAGCGGTTCGCACAAGAACTGCTCTGTTTTTTGGGGGCGTTTTTTCTTAGTGATTTGTGCCTAAAAAAAATAAACAAATAAATACATTTTATTTATTTTTTTCCTTGTTTTTGTCAGGTGAATAAAAAAAAAAATGCAACTCAATATATGATTAATAGAATAATGTATTTTTTGCAGAGTAGATTATTTCTGGTTTAAATCTCATAGTTCATTGTAAATGATGTCACAATAACTGTCATGAACACAAAATCAGCACACTAATATCTGGCTGAGGATAATGGGGATTGCAGAGAGATAAGAAGTATTTACTTCTTGGTAATCCAAAGGTATCTGTCTAGGAATCAGTCACAGTCTGGAGTTCAAAGGGTGAATTAATGAACTCCCAATCTAGCGTTGCTCTATCCCCAGAATCTCTGTGTGTAAAATCTCTCAGTCCTATTAATAGCAATGGCATATGCAAGTCTTAATGTCCCTTTTTCAGCTACATCTAACCCATAATAAAGGATAATGATTTTGTTAAAACCACATAAAAGCAAACTATTATTGTGTAGGATTAATTTTCTGTTTAATTATTTTTCAGGGTAATTTCAGGGTAATTGATATATATGGGCGCTGTGTAGAAAATGTTTAATTCTGTCAAAAAAGGGGTGTTCAAAGCAAATGTTCCCTTTAACCCTTCAAAGGTACAGTAAAAGTGCATGCCACCTGCAGCACTGAATGAGTTAAGCATCCACTAATTATCTATAAATTAAGCAAATGAGACATCATGTAGACAACAGTAAACGACCCCATTAAAATTCTATGTGTATTTAACACAGTGATCAAGGCTGCTTAGTTAACCCCTTGATTGACAAAATATCAGGATAAAAAACAGTGGAGGATTTAACATATCCCTGACCAGTTTACCCTGTCCTTATTAAAGCAAATATATTAATAGAATATTTTCACTAGTTCTGTTCTATCTCAAAGCGACTGATTATAAAATGTGTTTAAGATTAACATTCCTATTGTGGGGGGGGGGGGAGGATTATTTGATTATAAAATAAAATGGGTATGATTTTAGGATTAATTGGCGAGGAAATACGCTCAGATTATGGCGGTAATATATAAATACCATGTCCAACACAATATTTCCAACCATTTTCAAACGTACAGATTATTTTTGCAAGGCTGTAGCTAGTGACAAAGTAATTGCAATATTTATTAAATAAATCATAACATTCCATCTGCCTGTTATTTTCAAAATAATTAGACTTGAAGTGGAGGAATCACAAAGTGAACATAATATTAATTCTATAGATATCTATGTAATTCTCTTCGAATAATGCACATAATATGAACAGATCACAAGAATTTACCAGTTTCAGAATCCAGCATTAGGCTCCAAGTCTATTAAAATAGATTGTATTTCTCATTCAATTATACATTTACGTTTCAGCAATATAAAAAATAATATTTAAATATTCCCAATCGTAAAGCGATATTACTTATTAAAACAATATTTAGAAAGCTGGAGATTTTTCTATGGTCAGAGTTAATCCAATATAAGAGACACAATATCTCAGAATACATGTATGCATGTGTAAAGATATATCTATATTATATATTACTATTATATTGTATAATCTTTACAATGTCCATTTTCAATAAAAATGATTAATCCTCTGTTATAAACTTATTTTCAAAAGGGATTAGTTGTTAAATTGGATCCTTAAATATATCTGAACGGTGTTAAAATTGATGGCAGCAAATATTTGTTTGAAATCACTAGTATTGATCGTTGATTCCAAATAAAATGAGATCAGTGCTTCATTGAGGTTTTGTTTAAGAAGAAAAATCTTTTTTTATTTTTTAAATGGGAAAATAGCTTTAAGAAAATGAAAGTAGTCGATGAAGGGAAATATATTTACTATATTTTTAAGAAAGGATAAAAAAGAATTGAATTTCGGGTTTTGGTGAAGTGTGTAAGATCATTTCTGCCTTTGAGTCTTATTTGTAACAACTGCATTTGGGTTCCTTTATTTTAAGTCCCTAGAATTTCTAAATGATGAGACATGTGTAACTTGAATAAGTGAAAGGATTTAGATACACCCGCTAGCGTTTTGTATTGTAAAAAAATAATAAAAAAAAATAAAAAGCGTTTAAATATCTTCATATACTGTGTAGTATTGACTCTTTCCAATTTTTCTCAGGGCAACATTGTTAAATTTCAAATCCCATTTCAGGAATATAAGAGAACCAGCACAGTGATGCAATCTCATGGATATAGCTGATGGGATATTATTTTGCTTTTTAAGATTACTCCATTGGAGAGGAGTTTTTTGCAGCCTTATTAATGATCCACTTAAATGTAAAAATATAAAAAAATGTAAAAAAAAATGTTAAATATAATAAAGCTGTAGTGTTTTCGACTAACTAAGAAAACATCACTGCAGGTCACGCTTATACTATATTCTCCTAAATGGTAAATGCCACTAATTCCATGGTGTTCCTCTCTCTCAGATAAAAGGTAAATAAACTTAATTGTGCAGTTTCCAAGCTTCTGATTTTAACTTGTGTGTTAATCTCCTCACAATACAAGCCTTGTACTCCTAAAGGTTGCCCAGTTCCAAGTATATGTTCACACCATTTAGAAGAAGTGATCTCTCAAACACAATATTATCTCCTAACTAAATAAAGAGTCAGCACAGAGTGTGATATATGGCATCGCCCTCCTGATCACTGCAGGTAACTATCAAAAATGATATCACTTCAACTATAGTCACTTACAAGAAACTAGTTCTCATAAAAATACAGATTGCATAACGGTACTGCATTATTTTCAAAACAAAAGAATTTTTTACATTTATGTAAATACGTGTGTGTGTTTGTATGTATTTCTCTGTGTATATGTGTATGTATGTGTGTGTATATGTGTGTGTGTGTGTGTGTGTGTGTATATGTGTGTGTATATGTATGTATTTGTGTATGTGTGTGTTTGTATTTATTTCTCTGTGTATGTGTGTATGTGTGTGTATATATGTGTGTGTATATGTGTGTGTATATGTGTGTGTGTGTTTGTGTGTGTGTGTGTGTGTGTGTGCATGCATTCGTTTAGAATTGTTAGTCTGTTACGAATATTGATTACTCTGTTTCAAACTTTCTAGATAGATAGATATAACACAATTGGCATTTTCTACTTAAATTTTAAATACATTAGGAATAAGCAAAAAAAATCAATTTAGAGGGTTTTATTGTTGTAAACATTGAAATGTTCTTTCTTTTGAAGAAAATAAAAAAACGATTAGAGATGAAAGAAAACGAAAAAGAAATTAGTCTCTACGTGTCATACACTATAGAGTTAAAAGGCATTGACTTGCAATGTGTTGAAATACACAAACATACTAAAATGGCAATATTACAAATTTTACTTAAACATGAAAGAATATATTAGCTGACTTCTTTTAGATTTTTTTAAAAAAAAAAAAATGAAAAAATTCAAAGTGCTTAAAACTTCCAGTGGAGTATGCATTCTCAATATGGAAACCTGTAGAAGCCGGAGCATGCAAATTTAATTTATAGCCATAGACAACAAAATAATTAAGATATAAACCTTCTGTTTATCAACATCAACAGTACATACAACACGTACAAACAAGGAATGTTGGACGGTGTTACAAACACAATTTGTCCTCTGTCATTTGATTAATTCAATAATTAGTACTTGTGCCCATCTATGGTACAGGTGAGAAAGAGTTAATCTCGTATAACTACCAATCTTTATAAAATCTAGCAGACTACATAGTGTCTGAATACTATTTATAGAATATAGACATTACTGAAATAGCAAATGCCTATATATATTTTTTTTATTATTATTTTATTATTTCCCCCGTCTAGCACTGTATAAACATGCTCCGTTTCTATATGCATTATGACTTTTTTTTTTTATTTATTTTGTTATTTCATAATTTTATTTAATTTTTTTTAATGCAAACACAGCTTGTGGAATCGGTTTAATATTTATTCATAAATAGGCACAAAATAATTAAAAATAGCTAAACTGTATCTTATACATGTACAAGTCATCTTCCCTCATCATGCCATCCCACTGAACATGTATGTATTTATTTATTTTGTGTCTTCCCCACCCCACCCCTCCCCCAACAATATATTACAGCTTTCTTTTTGCAACAGAAAACTTCAGTCTCTTAAAGGGCTCGGCCGCTAAATCTCCTTTTTTATTTTTCTCTATGACTTGGTTCATTCTCTGCTGTATTGATATCATATTTTTTCAAATAACGGTAGTATTATAGCAATTTTGCCAACCTACAGTCTAGAGTCCATAGCAGTGTGTTAGAAGAATCCCATTCTTTGAATCCAGGCATTGGTTAAGGAGTGCAAGCTCTCTGGTCTACCCTTGGTATGGATAACCACAGTCTATGCTGGCAGTTTGGCACCCAAACCTGCTTCACATATAAGTCCCCTAGCCAGGATAAGTTGTTTGGCACTCACTGAAAATATAGTCTTAAAAGGGCAATGTGTCCAGGAAGAGTTTATCAATGATAGCTGGGGGTGGTACCAGGTCTTCCAATTTCAGGTAGAATATACGCTGTAAGCCCTGTGTACAAAGGGTACGAAGTTCAGGAAGTTTGCCAAGAAGTTTGGATAGGTAGTTGGGGCGATTTAAACCCCCATTGTTAAAAGTCACGTGATCTTTGAGGCAATTTACAATCTTGTTTTGCAGTTCCTCCACTCTTTTTGGTTCTTTTAAGCCATGTCTCTCTGTTTAAAAAAAAAAAAAAAATGGAAAAAAATAAAATTACCAAAAAGGAAAGACAATGATTATTATCAACTGGAGACATCATAGCATTACACTGTAATAATACATGGGCTGTTTAAATGCATTTCTCACCTGTGACCATAGCCAGTGCAGCAATGCAGGAGAATGCAGAGATATCTATGCTCAAACTCTGCAGATTGGAAGAAAAGTCCACAATAGCATCTATCCATTCTCCAAACCCACGAACACATTGTAATCTGTTTAGGACCACCCCATTGCAGAAAATGAGTTTGCCCTCAGCTGGGTTAGATCTGAAATTAATTAGAGGGGGGAAAAAACCTAATTAGCACCAGAATAATAAATAGACATTTAAACGACTCCTAATTACTGAAGACCCAATAAAATGCAAATCAATTGACCTTGGGAAAAAAAGGGTTGGTTATAAAACAATTAAAACCTAATTTGGTAATTACCTGTATGCCAACCGCAACACGAAAAGTTCTAGAAAGGCAGATTCAAAGAGCAGGTCCTGGTCCTGTTTGTGTAAATCAGAAAAGCCTGGAATCTTCTCTGCCCAACCTCTTATAATTTCCATAGAGCCGGTGAGAAGATCATAAAATTGCTGTATGTGTTGGGTATCATCTCCAGTCATCTGAAACTCTGGGTTAGCTTGAAACTGGAAAACATTAAGAAAAAAAATATATACATTTAATGAGATTTTCTAAATTATACAGCCCATGAAATTGCCATTCTCTTTTACAGTGTGAGAGCTTCTTCCCCTTTCTAACTATTAATAAGTGTATTGTGCACAGTAATTACAATTAGAAATGCCTCTTTGTTGTGAATTTGAACGGATACAATGTTACTTTATCATTGTTATTTGTTTGTTTTTTTATTATGATTCTATTTGTAAATATGATCTGCTGGATAAAAAGTAGAGTTTAAAATGATCTGTATGTGGCTGGATATAAGGCATAGCTATCATCAATGTGGTTTAAATTCATTTATAAAAATGAAAATATTCTCTTGCTGTGTGAGTGTGTGGTAAGGAGAGGTAAGTGGGGCTCTGTGACAATCCCAGGAAGGTGTCAGGTGGAATTAGATTGATACTTAGTGTTCTAGGCAGCTCAATGTTACCCAGCAAAGAAGTCACTTTGAATGAGAGCAGGCAATCACTGGCTTATTGGAGGTGAAAGGAGTCATGGGGGGTAGACATGTCCACCAGTGCTGTTCTCAGTGCTGGCTGAGGATGCTAGGATCCTTCTCGGCTCAGACTCCCACTTACCCTGGAATAGTCCAGGCTGCTCATTGCCGGATTGGAGTCGACGTGGGCTCTCACTAGGGCACTGATCAGACTCACCGGGGGGCTAGGGGGTGATGGCTCCTGGGGGCTCTTGGGTTTGGAAGGCAAGCGACCCCTCCGTCCTTTTAAGCTGTCTGTCCGAACCACTGCAAGACAAGAAAGATCAAGATGTTTATTCCAGCTCCCACACACATTCCTGCCCCGCATTGCATTCACCCTCATCACAAAGGCACCCTTGACTCCAGCATGGGGGGGTGGATATTTCCACTAAGACACAAGGCACATTAAAACTGCAGCCCCAGTGCATTCTCTGGCATGGGGTCATTGACACAGTGTGAGTGTGTGTGTATTTGGTGGGGGTCACCTATTAACCTATTACTACAAATCCGACACAAAAACTGACACAGGCTAGAAAAATAAATAAATAGAATACAGCTCAGATTAATAAATTCATGGATTGAGAATGGCTGGTGCCTGATGGAAGACTTGCTGTGCATCTGCTCTGCTCTTACAGCAGGGAGTCCTAACCCATCCCATTATCTGTGTATACATTGTATACATTCTAAAAACTGCTCGCTTAATTCATAGCATCATAGCACACATACATCGGGAGAATGTTACTGGTTTCAAACTCAGAACTCTAGCTTCAAAAGTTTTACAGCATGTGTGTGTGTATATATATACTGTTTGTGACTCTTCCATTGCATACGAAAGGCACGTTTTAGAAGGGGGAAAAAAACAATAAAAAAATTAAAATCGCCCTATGCAACAGCAATAATGTATTTTTAGAAGTATCACATTTTATATATTTTATGTATGTGTGTGATGCTGTGTTTACATTCACTAATCAAACTTCTATAAGTACACATGTAAAATACACATATTGTGATACAAATATTGGAAAATGTATAAGTGTAAAATTGATGTAAATTCTATATTAATGCATACACCAGAACCTGTATATGTAAATCGGGGTATCTGCAGGTCAAGACAAGCGATATATATATTGCTATGTACTATAATAGCGATAATAAGATGTACCTTCTTTGACCATGCCGACGGCAAGGCATTTTTGAAAGCGACAATACTGACACCGATTTCTGCGCCGTTTGTCAACAGGACAGTTTTTATTTGCTAAACAAACATATTTGGCATTTTTCTGCACTGTGCGCTGTAAGAGAAGAGGGAGAGGATTAAGAAAATTAGAGATTGATTTGTCCATTGTCCTTAGTGCAAGCATTGTCCTTGCTGGGGATGGGGTGTCTGGGTTGATGGCCCCTCATTGTGATCCAGGCATTTAACAGGGAGAAACTGATAGGGTTAGCATTTGAGCTGTCCTTGCAGGCTCCTAGTTTTGTGTTTTATATGCCAAGAGAAGTACTGGATGTTCAGTAAATAGAAATCCGTGGGCATTCATATTATTTACATCCCTTGGAGACTTCTCTATTTCAAATGATAAGATTATTCAATCAGGATGGCGAAATAAAGCGATCACTTAATTTTACCATAGGGAATTCCGTTCCACTTGGTTAGCTGAGACACGGTTCTCTGTCCTAACCAATTTAAATCTAAAGGAGAAGGCTGCTTATAGCACATGCAAATAAGACAATGTTCAGCCAGACACAAGTTCCCAGCTAAGGAAGAAGGGGGTGGTTGGGGAGAACCTGGCTTGATGCTAGGAGACCTAAAATTCATCTGATTCATTGTTCTTTTTATTTCTGGGCCTGTCGTCCATAGAATAAAGAAGTTTTAACAACCAAGTGCCCTGTTCTTTTAGATTTACACATACATCGCAGGAATCTGTCAGGGGCGGTAAGAGATACACTGTGTTCTATTCTACAGCACAACAAAAAATATATATCACAATTTGCTGGGTCTCCTACTCACCTTGAAGAACCCTTTGCACCCCTCACAGGTGCGAACTCCATAATGTTGACAAGCAGCGTTGTCCCCACAAACTGCACATAGCCCTTCATTGGATGGAGACCCTCTGGATGGTGGTGAAGGAACCTGACTGTCTATGAGTTGAGATGCATGGTGACCAAGCTGAAGTCCAGGAAAGCCCATAGATGCCTGCTTTCTGATAGGGTTAGGGACGGCAAAGGTCTGTCCATCTACCACATGGTGGGCTCCTGAAGGCTCAGGGTTCATGGAAACATGGTGGCCATCAAACCTCATTTGGCAACTAGATACAGGTGTCCCAGGTGGAGACTGCTTGAAGGAGAAAAGTGAAAGTCTGGACACTGGACCTTTCCTCTGATCAATCATGTGGGTGGTGGCCACATAATTTTGATGGAAGCTGTGAAGGGAACCAGGGTCATCCCACATGGAACTGTGCTGGACAGGGAAACCTGTAGTGCTGGTGGTTGGGGAAGAAGATGGTTTGTAGTAGACAGAGCCTGAGTGTGGTGGCATCATCTCCTCTCCTTGAGGGGGTAGGTGGCTGTGCTGTTGGTAGCTGTGCATTTGTATGTCTTCAACTTTTATAGAAGCCTGTTGACCAGAGATGGGCATTTGATACAAGCAAGGAGGCTTGACGTCGTAGCTTGTACTGAAGTTGTCCATAAAGGTACTAAAACTGGGAAGAGAAGTGGTGGCAGTGATTTCAGTGTTGGTCAGGTCCATGCTAAACTTGACAAACTCTGGCGTTAAGAAATCGGAGCTGTATTCTCCAGTAGAGTGATAACTGTAGCTCTGTGAAGCTGGGCTGGCTCCTTGAGGCGATGACCCATACTGAGCCTGAACACAGGGCATGGCTGTAAATGAAACAATTTAATGGATACCCATACTGTTACACTTTCTCTTTGCTTTGTATCAGTGTACAGATCATTGTTTCATTTATCACAGTTACAAAAAAATTAAAATTAAAAATAAAAATAAAAAAAAATTCAAGAAGTGCAAGAAGGTTTTTTTTTTTCTTTAAAAATTGCACCCACTCACACTCCAATCTAATACAACCTCAGTGGGTGAAGCCAAGCCTCTTTAAATTTTGGGGCAAATTTGGGATTATTTAAAAAATAAATACAAAATATTGCATGCTTTGTAACTTAAGACCCCATTTATTTGTATTGTATTTCATAAACAATATATAGCAAACTGATATAATATAGATCTCTACAGATGCCAATATGATATAGTTAATTATAACAGCCCAACCTTTCCCCTCTAAAATAGCGATGATAACAATAATTCTAATAATGGTATTTGATAAAACAAACCTTCAGCCGGGCTGCTGGAGTCTTCGTTTGAATTAAAAGAGGACAGTGTTGTTTTATTATTGAAGCAAACTTTCCAAGATTTAAAAAAACTGTTCACATTAGAACCCACGTTTCAGGAAGGGTTTCTGAAAAACAAATATATGGTGCATTAAATTAGAGTATCCAGGCATAATCTGTATTGTTGACAAGGATGACACAAAAATATGCAGTGTGTGTCTGGTCACATATAGGCCTTTTCAAATTACATAGCTCAATGTCACCTCAAAAAAAATATAAAATCAGATCTTTTCAACAAGAGTGGAAATTGAGAATATTCTCACAACAGGCGTTATTACAGATATATAATCTCAGCCGTTAAACATCACTGGTATTTACTAAACTGGTGGATCGCTGACCAAGTGTGTAGACTTTATTTAAAGGTAGCCAAAAAAACAATTAGTGCATAACTAGCAAAACCTTCCAGATTTGGACATGGTACAAAAATGAAGAATGAGTTTGTCTAAGAAGGCCTAGCAAACGTCACAACAAGTATATAGTTATTATTTCAACACCAAAATGTGTATTAAAATATAAACACCGGTTCAATAGACTTCAGTTTAGAATCTGGCCAAAATCTGAAGCACTTCGACTGCTTTCTTACAGAATAAAATAAATAGAGGAGGAAAAGCACATTAATGACTTCTAAAGATAATGCACTCCTGATTGTATAAGGACAGATCGAGGACCCATTAGCTCCCAAGTAAAGAAAAAAACTTGTTGAACAAGTATTACATTGTATCCAAATATGTAATGTAGCAAGTTCTGGGAACTGTGCGCTAACAGTGTATCTCTAATCAGCGATGCAAAATCTCAGCCTCTCTCACCCCTGTACACAGAATGAACCGCAAACCTCCAGCAATATTGCTTATTAGTGTAGTACACAATATCAAGGCAGCCAGATCACTTCCATATTAATTAGTTTACATCACCTCTTTTCAGCTGATGGCCCCAGCACAGTAACTAGGAGACCAGAATACCACCTCCCCCAGTTCCAGCAGGGTAACAAGTATACTACAGGCAATCAGCTCTACTCCTTGTACATGGGCATCCAGGATCCTTGGCTGGATCATCACACCCAGCCTTACATACCCCGTGCAATAAATACTATGTATACTGTATATACCTAGATCCACATGGAAGTGTGCACACACTCTAAGACTAGCACTGAGCAGATGGAAGATGTCTAAGTAACAGCATGCTTGTTTCTCCCAGCAATTGACACATAGATAAACGATCTATAATTAAACATGATAGATATACAGCAACCAACTTATATCCAGCAGGAATAAGGAGAATCCAGAAAGGCCTTTTCTGTGATCACTTTGGATCAGTATGTACAAGTATGTATGTATTTATTTATATGTGTGTGTGTGTGTGTGTGTGTGTATTTTTTTTTAATTAAAATATCTCTTTTAGAAAATAATAAATTATATATATATATATATATATTTGAAAATGAGAGAGATGTCCCAGTTATAATAATATGTTTGTGTGTGTGTGTGTATATGTGTGTGTGTGTATATATATTTATTACAATCTCTGTTTTAGAAAATAATAAATTCTATATATATAAGTGAGATGTCCCAGTTATATTAATATCTATATATATATGTATATATGTGTATAGATGTGTGTGTATAGATGTGCAGTGCTGTCCCTGCTTACCTTGCTGTGTCTGTCAGTGTTCCCCCCCTTACCCGCTCCGGGGAAGGCTTGGCTGTGTGGTCGCAGCGCTGGCTGTGTGTGCTCTGTGCGCTCTGAGCCCGTGCTCGCAATGTGCCTTTGTTTATGTGGCTTCTATTCCAGCGCTAGCCTACTGTAGTAAGCGGTCAACGTCAGCCTACGTCAGCGCGGCCCGGGCCAATCAGCGCGCTCCCTGCCTCGCTCGAGCCGCGCCGTTGGCTCGCGCTGACTTTGGTAAATTTCCGATGTGACGTCACAGGGAGAGCTGGGGTTTTAAGGTGGGAGCGAGCCGGGTTCTCACTTTCTATAGAGAGCCTTTCCAGGCGGTGGGCAACCCCTAGGAAACAGTGTGACACCGTGCCACAGTGTGTGCGTGTGACAGCCAGCCTGAGTGTGTGAGACAGCCTGAGTGTGAGAGACAGCCTGAGTGTGAGAGACAGCCTGAGTGTGTGAGACAGCCAGCCTGAGTGTGAGAGACAGCCTGAGTGTGAGAGAGACAGCCTGAGAGAGACAGCCTGAGTGTGAGAGACAGCCTGTGTGAGTGTGAGAGAGACAGCCTGAGTGTGAGAGACAGCCTGAGTGTGAGAGAGACAGCCTGACTGAGTGTGAGAGAGAGACAGCCTGAGTGTGAGAGACAGCCTGAGTGAGCGTGAGAGAGACAGCCTGAGTGTGAGAGACAGCCTGAGTGTGAGAGAGACAGCCTGACTGAGTGTGAGAGAGAGACAACCTGAGTGTGTGAGAGACAGCCTGAGTATGAGAGAGACAGCCTGAGTGTGAGAGACAGCCTGAGTGTGTGAGACAGCCTGTGTGACTGTGAGAGAGACAGCCTGAGTGTGTGAGACAGCCTGAGTGTGAGAGACAGCCTGAGTGTGTGAGACAGCCTGGGTGTGAGAGAGACAGCCTGAGTGTGAGAGAGACAGAGACAGCCTGGGTGTGAGAGACAGCCTGAGTGTGAGACAGCCTGAGTGTGAGAGAGACAGCCTGTGTGTGAGACAGCCTGTGTGTGAGAGACAGCCTGAGTGTGAGAGACAGCCTGAGTGTGAGTGTGAGAGAGACAGCCTGTGTGTGAGACAGCCTGCGTGTGAGAGACAGCCTGAGTGTGAGAGACAGCCTGAGTGTGAGAGAGAGCCAGCCTGAGTGAGAGAGAGACATCCTGAGAGAGAGACAGCCTGAGTGTGAGAGACAGCCTGAGTGTGAGACAGCCTGAGAGAGAGACAGCCTGAGAGAGAGACAGCCTGAATGTGTGAGACAGCCAGCCTGAGAGAGAGACAGCCTGAGTGTGAGAGAGACAGCCTGAGTGTGAGAGAGAGACAGCCTGAGTGTGAGAGTCCTGAGTGGGAGAGAGACATCCTGAGTGTGAGAGAGAGACAGCCTCTGTGAGAGAGAGACAGCCTGAGTGTGAGAGAGAGACAGCCTGAGTGTGAGACAGCCTGAGTGTGAGAGAGAGACAGCCTGAGCGTGACAGAGACAGCCTGAGTGTGAGAGAGAGAGACAGCCTGTGTGTGAGAGAGACAGCCTGAGTGTGAGAGACAGCCTGTGTGTGAGAGACAGCCAGCCTGAGAAAGACAGCCTGAGTGAGAGAGAGAGACAGCCTGAGCTGTGTGTATGAGTGTGTGAGAGACAGCCTGAGTGTGAGAGACAGCCTGAGTGTGAGAGACAGTGTGAGTGAGAGACAGCCAGCCTGAGAGAGACAGTGTGTGTGACACTGCCTGAGTGAGAGACAGCCTGAGTGAGAGACAGCCTGTGTGTGAGAGACAGCCTGTGTGAGAGACAGCCAGCCTGAGAGAGACAGTGTGTGTGACACTGCCTGAGTGAGAGACAGCCTGAGTGTGTGAGAGACAGCCTGAGTGTGTAAGAAACAGCCTGAGTGTGAGAGAGACAGCCTGAGAGAGACAGCCAGCCTGAGTGTGAGAGACAGCCTGAGTGTGTGAGACAGCCTGAGTGTGTGAGAGACAGCCTGAGAGACAGTGTGTGTGAGAGACAGCCTGTGTGAGAGACAGCCTGAGTGTGTGAGAGACAGCCTGAGAGACAGTGTGTGTGTGTGTGAGAGACAACCTGAGTGAGAGACAGCCTGAATGTGAGAGACAGCCTGAGTGACAGTGTGTGTGAGAGACAGCCTGAGTGTGAAACAGCCAGCCTGAGTGAGAGAGACAGCCTGAGTGTGAGACAGCCTGTGTGAGTGACAATGTGTGAGAGTCCTTGTGTACCAGTGTGCGAGAGAGACAGTCTGTGTGTGAGTGAGACAGTGTGTGAGAATGCATGTGTGTGTGTGAGAGAGAGAGACAGTCTGTGTGTAAAATAGTGTAAGAGACAATGTGTGTAACAGTGTGTGACAGTGTGTATGTGTGTGTGAGAGAGAGAGACAGTCTGTGTGTATAATGGTGTAAGAGACAATGTGTGTAACAGTGTGTGATTGTCTGTGACAGTGTGTGTGGGAATGTGTGTGTGTGAGATTGTGAGAGAGAGAGACAGTCTGTGTGTGAAATAGTGTAAGAGACAGTGTGTGTAACAGTTTGTGACAGTGTGTGTGAGATTGTGAGAGAAAGACAGTCTGTGTGTGTGAAATAGTGTAAGAGACAGTGTGTGTAACAGTTTGTGACAGTGTGTGTGTGTGTGTGTGTGTGAGAGAGAGATTGTGAGAGAGAGTCTTTGTGTGAAATAGTGTAAGTGACAGTGTGTGACTGTGTTTGTGTGTGTATGTGTGTGTGTGTGTGTGTGAAATTGTGAGAGAGAGACAGTCTGTGTGTGTGAAATAGTGTAAGAGACAGTGTGTGTGTGAGAGATTGTGAGAGAGAGTCTGTCTGTACGTGAAATAGTGTAAGAGACAGTGTGTGTAACAGTGTGTGTGTGTGTGTGTATGAGATTGTGAGAGAGAGACAGTCTGTGTGTGAAATAGTGTAAGAGACTGTGTGTGTAACAGTGTATGTGTGTGTGAGAAGGAGTGTGTGTGTGTCAGTATAGTAATATATATTGTGTGTGCTTTAAGCTGTCTGGCTGACCCCTTCTAGAATTACAACTCCTACGAAGCTAAGCAAAGTGTCATGGGAGTTGCAGTTCCACCCCTGTACTAGATTAGCTATAGCCATCCCAACAGCTGGGTTTCTTTAGTATGTTATTCGTCTGTTTATGATTACAAGACCAGGCTACTTTTTATTATAATTATTATTTATTCTCGTTGTAATATTCCTCCTTGTTAGAAAATGTTATTGTTACTCTTATTATTTGTATGTTTAGATTGACAATAAACACCTTCTAGAACCCTGATGGGGTCTAAGCAGTGGCTCTCCAGCTGTTATGGTTTACATGTCTCCCAGCTCCAGTTAGCCATACCTGGCAACATGTTCCAGGAGAGCATAATGTATGTCACTGGCTCATCATGTCACACCTCCTTTCTCTCCCAGGGAAGCAGCTATGACTTTAGCTTCACATAACAAACAGACTTAGACATGCTACTGGACCAAAACTTATATCACTCCCAGGCAGCCATGACTGGGCTGCTGGTGATCTGAGTTAGATTCAAGAACAGCTGTGGCATGGGATACAATGCATATGCAACAAACCTGAAAACAAATGAAAATTAGCACTTATCCTTAATATATAATAGGGTCCAGGGTACTTAACTCAATAGTGACTGAAATCTTCAGTTCTCCAGATGTGTTGAGGCAGGATTCTCTGAACCGGTTTCTAGATAAGCCGTTTCAATGCAAGTGATTTAAATCACATTCTCCTCTTCACCCTCCTCCAAGCAATCGACAGAATTCTGCATCACCATAGTAAATATATCATTCTTATAACCGTGTTGAGTGGGGGAGCAGTGACTGCAAAATATAGTATTACCATTTTGGGCTTAAAATCCCTTCCTTCCTATTTCTCAATATTTTGCTGTAATCAAAATATTCTACCAATCCTAGTGATCTGAGCAAACAGCATGTCTTCATTTTATTTCCACTCCAAAATCCCTGTTTTTATTCTGTGCATCCTGAGTCACCCATAAGACAATTACATAACATTTCCATACAGATATACAGCTTGTATGCTATAATTAGCCATGTGGGCTGAATGCATTTTTTTATTTTTTTTACATCTTTTTATCATCCAGAATCCCTGTTTGTGAGGGATTCACAATATCATGTAAACTATATCATACAAGATCATTTAAAGACTATAGATAGGAACCCCCCTCTGCTTTGCAACTAGTAGAAAGCTCCTGCCATACTTAAAGATCAAACTGTCTAATTCTTGTCTACTGAAGGTACTGGAGAGATCATGTATTGCTATTAAACCAGGCCCTCTGCTACTTGGAGAAAACCAAGCCTTCTCCTTACAGCAGTAATGCAAATTACCAATTTAACAATTAAAAAAAATCTGTGTTGCCAAAAAATATTAATGCAAATATCTTCTTTCAATTGTTTATCATTGTTCGAGATAGAAAATGTTATGTAATAATTAAAATCATTCTGCAAAATCCCTTTGGAAAAAACAAAACAAAAAAAGAATATATTACATGCGGCACATTTACTGACATTAAAAGAAAACAATACATTTTTATTTTATTTCCCCTAGTTTTTGTTACCCACCTCCCCTCCCCTTCTCCCTTTTTTCCTTTTTATTATATTGTTACAATAATTTTTGCTGCCTTTCTATGGTTCGAGTTTACTTAATGCATGTAAAACCTCCATAAAAACTCTAGTTGAAAAAAATATAAATAAATAAATGTTACAATGGTGTTTTCTAAAAGAAATTAAATACATTGATTAAAACTGTTTTACAAATACATTAATTCTGTAAGCATTCACAATGCAATATCTGAATAGGTAACGATGGTAATTTCTGAATACCATGAATGTGTAACATTAACTAGTTACTTTTTTATGTGTTTTTTTTTTTAATTCGCCATTATTAACTGACACTGTTACAATTTATTAAGGCCAAAGAAAACAATTTAGTGATTTCTAAAATAAATAGTGCGGTTATGCAAGTACAATATTTCATAATGTTTGTATAGGTGTTTCTAAGAATCCTTTAGCTCACATTATGAGGATCTACTCTGTTCAAAGAGGTACAGATTGTGCCAATAATAACCTCTTCCCCCACCCCCCAGCTGGAGAGACAATACAGTGTCATTGCCAAATCACATCCTGAAGACATAAGAACATTGTCAAGATTAAGGTTTGATCTTCTTCCCCTGGTCACTGACCCTAACTACTGAAGATGAATAGGAGAGCAGGGGATTGTAATTAAGGCAGTCAATCATATGTATGCTGAACAAAGTAATTTCTTCTTCCTTACACTTTGTATACATCTCCTTCTTTCTCTCTCTGTTTCTCTGAGTCTGAGAACATTGTAGCTTTCAATATTACCCATGGGGTGCATTCATAAAAGGATGAGCTGCCCTTATGGCGTAGCTAATTTGCACTATGTCAAGTGAGATAATCGACCAGGGGATAAATTCAGAAGTCAACTATTCAATAAACGCAATTCGGTTACGAATATGATCATTACAACCAACTTACATGGCCAAACATATTTAATGCTGGGTGCATCTAAAAAATGTATATCAATTATTCGCCAGGCACTGAGATGCCAGCAGGTGAATAGTTAAATCATTACATTGTGGAAAAATAAATGGAGTGACTCTATTTTAACCAGATGGTCACGTACAATGTTTTCACCCCTTTGATATCAGGATGTTAGAGTGTGCCTAAGTGTTGATGCCACTACCTCTTGCTTTATACCCTGGGTTGTGGGAGTTAAGGTACAGAACAGATGGCATTGACTGGGAAATAACTTTATAACCAGTGGAGAGCTTGACTTCTTCCAAACCTTATATCAAGTGTTGCAGGAGAGTGTTAATATTAATAGTATGGAATTCCATTGAATAGAACTATTAGTAGACAAATGCCAATGTAAGAAAGTGCAGGTTGCTCAGAACTTCCTCATAACAAGTTGCCCCTTCATTGTTCTTCCCTAACATCTTTGGGTAATAGGCTAATTTATGCTAAGGTTGTCCAGGGGTAAAAAACGGGGTTTGACGTTTAAGAATGGGCCGGGGATCCCCAATTCTCTGATACATAAAATAGTAACATGTCAGCGGATAAATAGCTCAAAACGTTCCTCCTCCCACCATCACTGACCGGGCCTGGGTGCCCCAAAACTATGGTATTATGTGCCCCCTAAAAAAAAATATAATTAGTACCTCTTAATCATTTTCTCTAAATAAGCATGTACATGCAAGGCATCTGTCAAAACAGATACATGTTTGTATTGTTGTTTGTTTGTTATTTTATATACTGACTGGTTGCATCTTAATTCCAAGCATTGAAATCAACATTTATATATTGGCTAGTATGGAACCGTATCATATATTATTATTATTATTGTTATTATTATTATTATTTTAATTAACACTGCCCCTACATATTCCATAGTGCTGTACAGTATGTGGATTAACACACAAACATTTGTAACAAGACATGTTGATGTACAGGAACAGTAGGAGTTGAGTGTTCTGATCAAACAAGTTCATAGTCTATGGGAGCGGGGGTATAATTATACCAAAGGTAAATGAAAATACTTTTCATACGTAGCTAAAATTGGTTTCAAGAAAATCATTTAGTAAAATTGAATTTTCTATATGGTTTGGGTAGTGGCAACTTGTAGTGAGTCCATTGAGTATTGGCCAACTTGAAATGAATGGACCATTCCTTTAACATTTCTTTAAGCATCACGTTAGATTATTGCGAAGAAATACCACCAATAATATTTTCCTAATATCTACTAGGCACTAGTAAAGCGAATATGGAACAGCATTGAATATGAAATCTATGGCAGCTTCCTGGTACTTTGCGAATCCAATGGGAATCAGAAAAATCAGGAAAGTGGGAACATCTGCACTAAAACACCATGTAATGTAAAACAAACAAGGACTATAGCTCTAAGCAAGCTGTCAACCAAACACCATGGGGGGCAGCTTAAGAGGCAGGTGATGGTGAGTCATTGGTGTGATGACACCCAGGGTCAGAAGCACAGCAAATTAAGCAGGTCAGGGAATCTGAATCACTGGCACTACAATGTTTCATTATGATTATTATTAGTATTTTATTATTTATATAGCGCCAGCAAATTCTGTAGCGGTGTACAAATGGTGGACTAACAGACACGTAATTGTAACCAGACAAATGGACGCACAGAAACAGAGGTGTTGAGGGCCCTGCTCAATGAGCATACATGCTAGAGGGAGTGGGGTAAAGTGACACAAAGGGTATGAGTAGGGGTAATGAAATAGGTTGCTAGAAAATTATTCACTGAGAACTTAGGTTATTTTTGACAGTTGCAGAACAGGAGTCATGGGGGGAAAGGGGGAATGAAAACACGCTAACAATTTAAATGATATGCTTTCCTGAAGAAGTGTGTTTTCAAAGATTCTTTGAAGGAGTGGAGACTGGCTGAAAGTCTAACTGAGAAGGGAAGGGAGTTCCACATAAAAGGTGCAGCTCTGGAGAAGTCTTGGATGCGACCATCAGATGTGGGAGTACGGACAGAGTAGACACACTAACTGCATATCAATAATTCAATGTTTTGGAGAGGACACCTCATTTTTGCAGTCCTGGAACTTTCTTATGGCTTTGCAAATGTTTGGTTAAGTCTGCCCACTCATAAGTAACAACAAAACAAAGGATGAATATGTATCTTCAAAAAGGACCTAAATTGTTTGTGGCCACATAAATAAGCATAGTGGCAAACATTCTGTTGGTGCATTGCACCTGGGTCTACAGTAGACCAACATCCTTTGATTTATGGAATGATTATGTATGTTGGAGAAGTATATCTTCTCATGCCCTCCCTCCTCTATTGAGTTGTGAGTAAATGAAGAACTGTGCCTTGGCCTGTGACAAATCTCCAAAATTAGTGCTTGATTTGAAGATCATATCTTCATTCCGTAATGGAATAGTGGGCCAGTGCATGATGATAAATCCATGGAGATTTAGGGAAATCCATTGAGGAGGCACATATATATCTACTCCTTCTGTTTCAGAAATATTAGTGATCCCTTGGATAAATAAACCACATGTTGGTTCTTTTTTTTTGGAAGGATTCAGGGTAAGTGGGAAAAAATGTTGATAAAACATACAGTAATAAATAAGATAAAAGTGTTGATAATAGAAGGATAATGAGGAAGAGATTGTGGTGAGGGAAGAGGAAAGTAGCTTAAAAGATGGATAATAGGGCAGAAGAAGGGAACGTGGGTGTAAAAGAACTTGCCATGGTTGCCCACGTACCTGTTTCACCACAGACCTGCTTTGGAGAAAGGGTAGAAGTCACTAACCTATTGAAAATGGACCTAGTTGACATATTTTGCAAGCCTACCAATATTGAACTAGGAGTTCATCACGTGTCATCATAACAACAAGAAGACCTCTTCAGTCCTCTTCTACCTTTTTTTCGAAACAAGAATGTTGCCATAAAAAGGCTTGCAACAGTTGAATGTTCATAATATGTTATTATGCAGTGGGTTTGCTTCCTGCATCAATAAACAGTAGAAACGTGAGGTTTTAAAATCATCTGATCTCTAATGATTTGGTCTACAGTTTGCAAATTTGAATTTG